CAATGTCTGGGAACCACGGCATTTCCAGTCACCCAAATGCATACCTGGAGGGGTTGCAAATAGCCCACAGATCAATCCACCAGATCCATCAATCCAAGCATGCTCTCTATGGGGCAATCCCCACAAATCCATCATGCATTCTTGCAATCCCACCTCTTAGTGCGCTGCGTCCAGGATCATCTAGTATCGAAGAACAGGCCACAGATCCCCTCCATGGAAGATCAAATCAAGGTGGACACCATTTCTATAACTAATTGATTCAATCACGACAAGAAAGGAAGGGGAAGAAGAAATGAAATTCGCCATAGCTCGAGCTCCATCCCAGTTAAAAGCCACAAACACATAAAGCCTAAATCATAACATTTACCACCAGATAAAAGTGAAATTAACTTATGAGAGAATAATTTTATTTTTTTATCTCAACCTCTGAAGTAAAAAATTAAAAGAGGTAAAATAACTATTATTTGTTTGATTGGCTCCACGTGGCGAGCGGTTTGTTCGTGTCGAGCTAGTTATTCCCTTTGTTCGTGGGCGGGCTCATGCTCTTGGCATGGGCATGTGGTTTGGTAACTTTTCATTTATAAGATTTTCTCTCGGGGTTTCGCGATTTTTCTATACGAATGTGCAGTAACCTTTGTGGAGAATTTTCCATGTAATTACGATCAACGTCGTGGACGAAATGGTCCCTCTGATTCCATTGAGAGACAGCTTTAATACGTTGATGTGAGTGAGCGTGTTCTTTTTTATTAATTTCTCTCTTTTCCTGAGAGAATCTTTTTTTTCTTTCCGGTTGTTATCCGGATGAACACCCATTTGTGCGCGTTTGTGTTGCCACCTCTTTTCTTGGCCGAGTAATTGAAAAGAGTTTCCTTCCTTTGTATGTGTGTGCGTGTGTGCGTGTCACAGTCCAAGTTTCTAGATCCCAAGACATTCCAAAGACCTTTCCTCGCGACTTACTATAGCCAACCACCTTTCTCAGCGGGGGCGGCTGTTTAATCAAACGGGTTAACATCGAAGAGTTTGACAAGAAACACTCGAAAAATCAGTGGTGGTGAGATGAAGAAAAAAAAGGAGCGAATCGATCCACTTGTTTAAGCAAACCACACATGGAAGAAAGAAAAATAAGTGACGAGAGATCTATCCAGACCACGGGGACCGCAAGGCCGGGAAACCATAAACTTGAAAGAAGGAAACGCAGATATTCTCATGTGAGGAGAGTTGTTTTGTCAAGATCACTGATCGCTACGTTTGATCTAAAGCCTGCTTATAAACAAGAATAAAGACGATAAGTTTCGTGAAGAGCGATAGCGTCAGCCATGAACTCAGAGCTGTAGCGTAAGCGGGCGAGAACCCGGAAGAATCAAAGAAAGCAGAAAAATAGAATACTAGGAAGAAGAGCGCGCGGTCGATCGACTAGACGCGATTTGTTTGGGGGTGTTTGGATCTTACAAGAGCACTGTGGCTGATGCTAAGATAATGCCACTGCTATCTTTCATGTCTGCAACACTGTTCCAACGCGTGAACTTAGAATTGGAGGCAGTGCCGAGATGACATACCTCCGCCGTGCTCACCGGCTGGATGGACGATCGGTTCCGGTTTTGCCATGACTCGATTTTACCTCCGATGACATACAGCTTGTCACCGAGGCACTCGAGGGCGAAACCGAAACGATACGAGGACCTGTTGTAGAGCTGACCCGTGGAGATATGCCCGATGTGATCCCACTCGTTGAGCTCCGGATCGTATCTCATCAGCTTGCTCTGATGAACAACGAGGAGATTTTCTCGAAAGATTGTGTTGGGACCGGGAACCTGCCGTACGAAGAAAAAAAACGCTAAACTTTAAGACGAGAAGTGACGGAAACGAGCAAGCGCTACCTTGTGAGAATCCAGCCACATCTCCGGGATCAACGTCCAGCTCTTGCTTGCGGGATTAAAAAACTCGGCCGATGCTCGCTGCGGGTGGTCGCCATAATTGTTGATCACCACTTCGCCGGCAATGACCCAGAACTGGCCGTTGAGCACTGTTCCTCGGCAGCTGGAGCGGACGCAATGCATGGAAGGCATTTGGTGCCATCGCTTCTCCCTGTAGTCCAGCACCTCGGCCGAGTCCAGGAAGCAAGACCGTCCCTGGCCACCGGCGACGTAGACGAAATCGCCCATCGCTGCCGCAGCAAACCAGCCGCGTGGAGTTGTCAGGCTCGGGCCTCGCTGCCACTTGTTCCGAAACGCATCGTAGATAAAAACGTCGCCACAGACCTCCACTGGAACAAAAGACAAGAAAACAAGGAATCAGCGCCAGGAGGGAAAAAAAAAAAAACGAAGAGAACAAAAGGAAGATGCAAGTGTTACATTATGGACCTTGGCCCAGTTGCTGCATTGCCTCGTTGTAAATGCGCCGAGCCCCTCCCATGAGTATGAGCTTCGAGTCGAGAGCGACGCAGGCGAAGCCCTGCCATGTCTCTGACGATATGTTTGCGGGCACTGGCGACATGTTGTACCAGCGGTTGGCATCTGGATCAAACGCACGAAATGCCGCTCCAGTGGCAGACTCCACCAGCACATAAATCCATCCTTGCAAAAATCCCCCCTGTCGAGACCAAGATCATCAATACTGACAGGGAAAGCAGGAAAAAAGCAAAGACAAAAACAAACGCGCAAGAACAGCCCTGGCACAAGTCTAGAACAAAGAAAAATAAAAGAAAAGTTCATGCAAGACACTTAGTCATCTATCTAAAACGCACAGAGAAAGATAGAAAGCAAGGAGATAGAGCAAGAACAGCGAGGAAGATAATTGTTGTGAACATACCTGGTGTCTGAGGAGTCGAAATGTTTCGCTGCTAACAGCTCGTTTCCAGGCCGAGGAAACGAGGCGGAGGAGTGGAAACATTCCTCGAGGAAGCCTGGCGATGCACAGAATAGCTAAATCGTTGGGCAATCCAGGTATGAGGAGCTTGCCTTCGTCACACCACGAGCGGGCCGCAGCCGCGCAATCTTCTTCCTCAGCGCCAGAGAATTCTGCGAGCAATCCCACCGAGCTGCTGGGATTTTGCCCCCGGCGATCGGATGAGGAGGAGCAGGAGGCGCCAGACATGATCGATCCAAAAGCTGCTGCGAAAATGCTCAAAGAATGGGGAAGAACCCTAACCCTATGGCGCCCATTTTCATTTGAGCGGCCACGTGGCGGGGACAACTGTATCAGCGGGAAAGAAGAGAACCACAAGAAGTTCGTGGCTTTTGGCGGGGATGGGAACTACATGAAATTCTTGCCCCGGAAAAAAGGATTAAAGGATCACGTTACTTGTCACGAAATGCGCGGACGCATTATAAGTAATAATTCCAGAATTGTACCTTTTTTAAAATCATTTTTATAAACCCGTTTAAAAATTAAAATAACTTTAAGGCAATTCAAGTATATTTTACAAAATGAAAAAAGAAGCTCCTTGATGTTCCTAAAACACTAAAGTCTATCATCTTATTGCCATAACTTTGGCATTCTTTACACAAACACTAGGTGCAAAAAAAATTAAAAAATTCCAGGCTCAATCTTTCACCTACACTTCGAGAAGATCCCATAAACCCTGCTGTACATACCTTCGGATCTCCTGCTAGATCGAAAGCTCCCGAGCTTGTGCCAAACACTCAGCATGAATGCCCGAGCACGAACCAAGAACCCAGTGACGAAAGCGCGGTTGCCAGGAAGAAAAGCAAAGAACGTCGGAATCGACAGCAGCAGCACTGCGGCAGCTCCGCCACCGCCAACGTTTTCCCTCATCCAACCTCCCTGCGCCACCACGCAATCCCGGAGCTCCGAGAAGAGCCACCAGCACGACTTGAGGATGGCGAGCCCGGTCAGCGCTGCCGCTCGAAGCAACCACAAGTTGATCAGCAAGCCGGACAGCATCAACACCATCGATGCCGTGAAATCCACGAGCCAAGCTATGGTGATTGGCATCGAGGCGAGCGAGGGAGTAAGCTTGGACGTGAGAGCAGCACCGAAGAGTGTAGAGCAGAGCACTACGAAACCCAGGGAAGATAAAATCTTCCACGGTAGACTCCCATCGTTTGATCCTCCAGAACCCCCGCCTCCTCCTCGATTGCCATTTCTTCCATCGCCACCACTTGATCCCGGGGAGCCCATGATCGAGTTTTCCGGATCCAAAAGCTCCTTGTGATCCTTCCACAAAGATCGCAGCATGGAGATTCTATCGGCCTGCGAGAGGAGAAAGAGCCTCAACCCCAAGGAGACGAGCGCCACGTACAGTTCCTTCCTTCTCTCGCTCTTTTGCCTTCTCCGGCTCCTTAGAAACCCCAAAACTCGCATCAACAGCCTCGTCTTGCGCAGCTTCTTGGAGAAATTCACCCCTGTTTTGGAAGATCTCGCGAAAAAGCCACCGACATTGGCCGATTTGAGGCATGCGCCGATCCTGGATTTCTTGCCGGCGGCCCAGGTCCTCCAATCTGTGGCCGCGGCGGCGTCATCCCAGTGATGCTTGGAGGCGAAACCCACGAAATTCCTGGCCGAGAATCGGCAGAAAATGCGAGAATTTCTGACTGGAGACTTACCACAAGTCGCAAAATCTGCAGCTACAGAGGCAGAGGCTTCCATCGAGCGAAAGCCCTAAGAGATAGGGTTTAGTGTTTCAAAAGCACCCAACGGCTGGTCCAACGGTCTGAATCTATACTATTTCACAAAATATGCAAACTAGTATTTATCTGATTTAGTTTCGTTTAAGGTTTTAATTATCAGTAAAATTTATCTTAAATTCACATTTAAAATATTAACAAAATAAAAATTAATATTTATTAAATATATTTTGTATAAAATAGGCATATTTTAATAAAGTTAACACTTTATTCACTTTAAAAGACTTTCTATTTACTGTGTTTTTCTAAATATAAAAAATGCTCTATAAAATGTTAGTGCTTTTTACTTTTCTTACTTTTTGCTATGCTCAACCACCTCAAACTAGGTGGCTAGGAAATTTTGGTCATTTTAGTAATCAGCAAATTAATAGAATTATAGATGAAATTAAACTTTTAATAGAGAGTATTGATATTGATGAACCAATTACAATCTCCAATAGTGAACTCTATCTTCATAAGGTCATTCAAATTGGTTATCAACAAGTGATGATTAGAATTTATGTTATTCCTACAGGATTAAAAACCTTTCTTAATTGTAATCCACTCCCTTTTAATTTACAACTTAATACCCAAGTTATTCAGAATATATTAAGATTGGTAGCATATCATGCACGTTCATATCCTTTAGGAATGATTGGAACTTTATACAGATATTTTGTTGTGGATTATGTTGCACTTGGAAATCCTGAAAGATTTCCTAATGAACAATATCCTACAGTTCAATATCCAAAAGGTTTACCTGATGATCAAAATCCACCTCCTAATTTATTGAATTTTAAAATTGATATGGATACTCATCAATGTTGGCCATATCACGCACAAATAATAAATGGTTCATTAAAATTTATTGGCACACATATATTAAATGGTAATAGTTTAGTATCTCCAAAAAATAAGTTCAGAGCAAATTTAAAAAATTGTAATTTAGAGATTGAAAATTTTATTACAAAAGAAATCATATGGTCTTCAAAATCAGAAAGGTATAATATGTTTTGTTATCTTCATCTTCAACTTGATGGTCATTTAGTTATAAAAGATAAAAATGAAAATATAAAATGGAAATATAATATCTTTTGTTTGAATTGTTTTTTATCTCCAGTTTTAACAATTGAAGATACAGGGTACTTAACTATAATTTCCTATAACTATAATATACAGAAACTATTATGGAAAAGTGAATTTTAAAAATAAAATTTATAATATAGATGTTTGTAAAAGTATTACTTTATTTTAGGTTAAAATAAGTATAAAATAATATTTTAAGGATAATTATAAGCATAATAAATAGCAAAAAAAATTTTATACTATTTAATTTAATTTTATAAATATATAACAAACCAGCCAAGAATAATTTGCTGTACCATTTGCAAGCATTAATAGTTTATTTTTGAGTCAGGTCCTACTTGCCTATATATACATGATCCTCCATGTATAGAGGATGGGAGGGAAGTTTTCATGTGATAATTATTTACAAGAGACTTCAAATATATATCACTCTTTCACTCTTTATTTAATTTTGAGTAACGTTATCACTTTTTTAATCTCTTTGTACTTATTAAGGAATATATTCAATATTATTAACCATTGTAGAATTGAACCTCAAACTTTTACACATGGGATTTGTTATATAGAAGGTTTTGATCACTAGTGGAGTCATTTAATTATGACATGTATGGATGGACATTGGGATTAGGTTTTTGGATTAGATTGGGGTTGAACTAAATTAACCATAAAAGTAGGGTTTTGAGGACTTTGTACTTAGAGTATTTAATATCAAACCACTTTTCTTTTCCAGTGTTTTAATATTTTAATTTCCGTTGTTTTCCCTTCTCTCAAGAATGAGTTCTTAACAATTTAAACACTTTGATATCAATGGTTTTTGATACTCTACCAAAGTAATTTCAAGTATTAAAACAATCTAATATAACACTCTTGGGCCTCCACCCTAGATTGTTCTCCTTAGGCATTTGCCAATACCACAAGGTTCCTACGTTGTTCATGCAGGGCTATTACAAATTAATTAAATCAATCTATCATGAAGATCATGTCAAATCCTGCCATGTTCAACACGGTAAAATCTATATCTACTTTCCATGTCTATACTTCAACTCTTGCTTATTGAAATACCTTATTAGTGCTTCAGGTACTTTGAACAAACTCTATAGTTTTTGATTCACCTAGCCGTTGCACTGTTATTCTGGCTGCTAGACTATGTATGCAGTCATAAAATTATCCGAAGCACCTGTGTTAATAAGGATCTTAACAAAGTAACCTCTGAGCTTCCCTTAGAGGGTTAGTAGATGTCGCAAACAACTTTTTACCAAAGTTGCTCGTGTAATAAGTAGTTTTGAGCTAAGGACTAAATCACGTACCTCAATTTAAATTTCACCCAACTTAATGGCTATATTGGCTTTGGCTTTCTTCATGTAAGTATATTCCCTTAAAAAATGTCTTGCTTCACCACAATTGAAGCATATGTTGTTTCCCACGCTATTAGCAAACTTGACTTTTTTATCTGTGGGTTTGTCCCTTTTTGCTTGACTCCCCTATATACTTGCTCGCTGGCCATTAAATTTTCCTTTTCAGATCCTTAATTCATTCTTAGAGAAACTAATTTTAAATTTCCCTTTGCCATATGTCCCCTTTAGTTTGGCTCTTTTGCTAAATGTGGGCCTTAACCCTATTGTGTTCCCCTTTCGCAGGTTATCATTGAAATGCACCTTGATAGCTGCATTCAATTCTTTTTTGTAGTTGGTTGGGTTCTAACACATCACTTTGCCTTGAGCCCAGGTCTGCAAACCTGATATGAAGGCATGGAATGCATTTATATCGCCCATGTCTGTGACAAGGATCCTCTTCAAAATGAACACATTCACATACTCTTGAACTATTCCTGCTTGCTTTAGCCTGCTCAACTTATCCTTTAGGTGCAAAGTAGCATTTGGCAGAACATAGGTTGCATGGATCTTCACCTTCATCATTTCCCAAGTGGCCACTGGTCCTTCACAAGGTATAAAAGAACCAAGGCAAAGATGGAATTTCTTCCAAAACTAAAGCCTTCAATTGAACAAAAAGCTATGGATGAGGAATCCTTGCATAGGAAAGACTCTAATGAAGAAACTTCCAAACAGAAGTTCGGTGGAGAGGTTCAATTGTCCAAGGCTTGATTGGACATTTTATAAGGACAATTGGCATAGACCAATGCCCTACTGGTACACAAGTTAAAGCATGACAAGAAGTGGAAGAAAAACCAAAAGACTGCAAAGGTTGGCAATGCAAAAAGCATGGACCTTTGGAGGGGACTAAGGCAAAACCGAACAAGGTTGATTAAACTGAAGTGAAATCAGTCCTTTAGGCAGTTCCCAAGTACAAATCAAAGCTCCCACTAGTCTTCAAGAGAGTGAATGATTATAAGATGGCAGAAGATTTGTTTTACGATATGGAGGATTACTTCTGAGTGGTTCAATTACTAAGCTCGAAAAAAGTCCTATATGCAAAACCATATTTAGCAAATATTGTTAAGTCTTGGTGGAAAAAAATAGGCCATCTCCCAGCAATCTGCTTCTATCCTTCACTAGAACTAAGGAAAAATCTTTAATACCAAATTGTAAGCCACAAATTTTTCCTTTTGAATTTGCTAGCTTACCTCATCTATCTGACCACCACAACCTTGGCCTTAGTTAAGTTCCCTCACCAAGGTTCCTGCTTATTGTATTAGCTCTTACTTGGTCATACTTGATTTCAGCAACTCACTATACAAGCAACAAAGCATTAGCCATCCATCCACAAATTCCCAAATTCTCTCTCAATCCCCCTCCCCAAATTAAGTTGGACTTAAAGTTCAACTACACTCCCCACAGGCACAAGCAACTAAGCACACCAAACCTTTAGGTTTTTAACATCCCTTGGTACAACAAGACTTAATTATGGGACCCTTTAAATCCCAAACCTTGAGTGCAACACTTGCTTTAGGATATTGGGGGGAAATATTGTGGCCTAACCCCCCAGTATGGGTACCTTTATTCCCCCACTTCCATCCCAAAGGAAAGGCCCAAGCCCCTAAGAAGGATAAGGACCAATGAGTTGCAAGGTACTTAAATAGGGCATCACTCCATATGAGCCAAGAGCACCACAGTCTGTTTCCCTTCCGGAAGTGGGAGCTGCTTTTAAGCACTTCCTTGGGTGGCCCTTCCAACATCACCTGAGTCCATACTCACTCCCACCCAAGGCCCTTAAGCCCTCGCCTCAACCTTAAGTCAATTTGGAAGCACCATTGGAGAGTTTATTCAAAATTGATTCTTAGACTTCATTATCCCTACTATACTTTTGGAACCCCTTGCAGCACCTCCCCCCTTTCTAAGAGACACATGCTTTGGGTTTTCACCCCACGACCTATATTAATATTTAGACTCGGTCTCGGACTCAATCTCAGACCTGACCTCAGACTCTATCTCAGACTTGATCTCAGACTCGATCTCAGACTTGGTCTCGGCCCTGATCTCGGATCTCGGACTCAGTCTTGAACTCGGTCTTTGACTCAGTCTTGAACTCGGTCTCGCACTTGGTCTTGAACTCGGTCTCAGATTTGGTCTCGAACTCGGTCTCAAAGTTGGTTTCAAACTCAATCTCATCTGATGAACTCTTTATCATTTTGGTTGTGCTTTCAGGGATTTTTTAGCCTACGACACCTTGGGGAGTTGAAATATGGTCAAACTCTTTTCACAAACATGGGCAAAGTATTACTGGCAAAATCCTCTAGCTTGATTGAGCCATTGATATTCACAGCCTTCATGTGATAGGGGCCAATCCAGTGGATCTTAAGCTTGCCTAAATGCTTCCAGGACTTGCTCTCATATAGCAGCACGAGATCTCCTGCTTGAAACTCTTAGCCTGTAAATTATGATCATACCACTTCTTGCATTGATATTTGAAGAGCTTTATGAGCTTAGAAAGCAAGGTAAGTCTCATCCAACTTCTCCAACTATTCCAGCCACTATTGAACAGCTCCATTCCAATCATAATTGTGAGCTATTTCTGTTTGCAAAGAAAGAACTTCCAGCTTGAGAGGAAGGATTGCCTCCTGGCTATAAAACCATGTAGTTACCTTGTAGGCAACTTTGTAAGCCCACAACACATTAAAAAGCTTGGTATCCCAATTGCTGGCACTTGCATTCCAAAGCTTGGTCATAGTGTCATATAATGTTTTATTGGTTCTCTCAACTTGGCCATTTGCTTGAGGATGATATGGCATCAAGTGTCAATGGGAAATGCCATACTTGGCTGTGAGAGTTGCAATGACCATATTAATAAAATGTGTACCTCAATCACTTACAAGCTCAAGTGGGCAGCCGAAGCTGTTCTTGTAGAGGAATCCTACTACCTTCTCGGCCATGTTTTTGTTGAAAGCCTCAACTTCTGCCCACTTGGTCACATAATCCGTGCAGACCAAGATATAATGATTCTGGCGATGTCACCTTGGCTTGAATGGCCCCATGAAGTCGATTCCCCACTTGTCAAAAGGTAGAGCTCGAATAATCGAATGTAACAGCATTGCATCTTGTTGAGTAGGACACCTAACACATTGGCATGGATCACAACTTCTCACAAATTTTGCCACATTCTGCTGGAGTGTTGGCCACCAATAACTAATTTGGAGCACAAGCTGTATAGTTGCTGCTGTTGCATATGCATCAAAGGGAGAATCATGGGAAGAGACAATCATCTGCTATAGCTCATGAGGAAGAATGTAGTGCCTCAAAACACCATCTCTTCCTTCCTTATAAAGCTAGCTAGCAATCAAGGTGAAAGCTGGTGACTAGTAAAGAAGCCTCTTTTGTGCCACCTTTGACATATGATCAGGAAATCTGTCAGCAACAAGAATTTCCATGATACCCTAATACCACACCAGCACAGCTACAACCTGGTATAAAAGCAGCTCCTCTGCTTCTGATTGGGTTGAGAGTGCATCTGGAATTTCTGTAGAAACCTACTCACCCTCCAACAAGAAAGGAGTATCGAGCAGCTCATCATAAACTCCTTCCTTGGCAGGTTGTCCTGGTAATCTTGAAAGACAATCAGGCATCACATCAAATTTTTCAGGCTTCAACACAATCTCAAATTCGAATTCTTGAAGCAGAAGCAACCAGCAAGTGATTCAGCTATGTTGATAGGGCTTATTATAAGATAGTGCAGCTCTTGGTGATCCAAACAGATTCCCAACAGATGTTCAATGGCTGTATAATTCTTCTCAACCAGAGATAACTACCTGCTCAAATAAAATATGGGATGATCCCAACCATTAACTGGCTGGCATAAAACAGCACCAATAGCAAGAGTAGAGGTGTCAACATGCACATGGAATTTCAAATTCCAGTCTGGCAGCTTAAGAATACATGCTGTGCCTCAAACGAAGCATGCGCCGTGTATGGGGCAACATGCATTGTTAACCATCAATACAATCCCGCGTCCCCATGGTGTCGTGTCGACAACCCTGGGTAGTAGAGTAATGATTAGATACCTTGAGCAGTTTTCGTAAACCTTAATCTGTTTAGGGTTCTCAACCGTCCAGAATATTCTGTCACCACCTTTGTGTCGTCACCTTTCTTTTGACGTTGGTTCTTAGGAATATCGGATAGTATAAGATACGCATACCACGTGATTTTTAGCGACTGATACGTAGCATAGGGAGTATACATATCCGTATGTATATAATATATACCATATCATTCACGGCATTGTGACGCTCTTATATCAGGAAGCCATTGTATTACCTTATCTTTTTTACAAAGCGATAAAGGTAATACGGCTTTGTTTAATGCCTTAATTATAATGTTTTTAAGGCGATTAAATGAAAAACCGTTATTCATGAATTTTCCTATTAATTTTTTAATTTCTGCTAAGAGATTTTTTTCCTCTGAGCAAAGATAAAAAAGTAGTAGGACCTGACCCATGATAATTTTATAAGAATTATTCTTAGGTCGATTCGAATCAAAGTGGACAAACTGGCAAATAGAAAAAGGTAAATGATCCCTTTTATCATATTTGCTAGTAGTGAAAGAAATTGTTAAATTAAGACTAAGAAAATTGATGTTACCACACCATAGCGTATTTTGCGTTATGATTGGGTCAATCATCGTTTGTTCAATCAACAAAAACTGCAGTGGGTAAATCCAGTACGGGTTTGACTTGACGCGCGGTTGGTCAGGGTCCAGAAACCGTAGGATCTGTGGGTTGTTAAGGGCCGTTAAATCGTCCATGTAGCGAGAAGCGTTTTTGAACAAAATCAAGGCTTCCGTATCTCCCAGTCGTGCTAGTCGTTTTATGAAGTTGGATTCATAAAAAAACAGATATAAGTTATACCATAGCGGTGAACATGAAAAACCCATGGGGATTCCCACAACTTGTTTCCAGACTTTGTTACCGAGTTGAACAAATGTATGGCTAATAACCCAGGTGTTCCAGAGAATGAGAGTATCGGCATCAACGCGTATAGCAGTTTTAGATCTTCTAGATAGACTACAGCATTTTGTTTTGTTTTCTTCTGATGGATAAGTTTAGGTTTTTGGGAGAGCAAGAATGAAGCGTAAGTCTTCTTTTCTGGTGACGGCCTCGTCGATGACTCGAACCGACTTCCGATTGGCGCATCCTCTAGTGACTGTGAGGCCAGGCAGCGTAGTCAAATTCGATTTTGAAGCTGATGAGGATGAAAGGGGCAAGGTTCTCAAAATCAACAAGGTGGACCTGGAGCTACTTGATTATTTCATGCAGGATCATTTGTATCCCGCTATGCAGAAGGCGGCATGGTGCTATCGGCGGAGGACGAACGAAAATAAAATCAGCGCCCTTGCGTCGGCTTTCTTCCCAGTCTTCACTTTCCTCTCCCCTAGAGCAAGCGACGCAGATTTGCTCAGGCCCTATGAGCAGGGTGATCCCCTTTTGGATAGTGTTAATGAGATAGCGGCACAAGAGGCGTCGAGCAGCAGTGGGGAGCAGGTCATGATTGACGGGCAGAGTCGGGAAAAGCTTGAGTGGGTGCAGGAAGATGGTGCTGATCTAGGTCCTCGACAAGCAGTTGATTTTAGAGGTTACGCATCGCTCATCGCAGATGAATCTTCAGAAACCAACGAGTCGATGAGCATCCTCATTTGCGATGCTAAGCAGAAAAACTTCATCTGGGAACCAGACACGAACGAAAATTCAGATCTTTACCAACTATGCGACTATACATGCTGTGCTGCGGTTCCTAACATCGACAGTGGAAGATTCAAGCCAATCCATATGTTGGTTTTAGCTGATGGTGATTATGGGGTTGCAGTCCTCCATGTGGAAGGATACTTAGAGGTTGGCAGGGATAATGTGATCACAGACGCAGCGTTTGATGTCTTCCTCGGCCACATGGAGGCAAAGGTGAGTTTTTTTAATAGTTTTTTTTGCTTATTTTTTTATTTAACTTTGTATTTTCAGGAAAACAAGGGGGACCAATGGAAAAGCTTGAACGATCAGGAGAAAGCGTATATTCGTGAAAAGTACCAAATCACCCTGAACAAAAGCAGGTTGAGGATGCAAAAACTACACATGGTCAGCGACATCCCCGTGGACAGAAAACTTGTGGTAGGGGAAATCAACTTCTATCCTCTCGCCAGAATCTGGACGAAGTTCCCCATTGCTTACCCCAGCCAGAGGTGGAGTACGGACGACTACATTTTTATTGCTGGGATGCTGCGGGTGCTCTTTGGAGATCGAGTCTTGTTATGGAAAAAACAAACTCTGGAGGCAATCGCTGCATCCAGGAATTCGGAGTTGGTCAGTCTCGGACGTCAGCTTCCAATCTTCCCACCCGACGTCGTTAAAAGTGCTGACTAGTCTTTGTTTTGTTCGTAGTCAATATCGGAGTTCAGTTCTCATCAGGCCTGTGACAAAATTGATGATCAATCCTTTTCTTGTTTTCTTTACACGAGCTCGTCCTGTTCGATTGCTATGATCTACTAATCCTGGTCTTGTTGCCTTTTATTGATTCTGATTAAAATATTACTTTTTGTGTTGGCATCAACGAACCGATGGAGAAATGGATGAATTAAAATCCTTCCATTACGTACTTATATTAAACTAAGCATCAGAATTAGTTTCTTTGAAACATGAGCTCCCGGCTTCTCTGCCTTGCCCTATTGGTGGGTGAACAATCCAACACTTGGTGAATTCTGTTTCACAATGATAGGAAGAGCCGACATCGAAAGATCACCCTATCAAATATTGAACAACGCCCAAACTCGCAGCCTTCTTCCCCTCCATCACCAGCTTGTTCACAAAACCCCTCGTCACTCTCACCCAGCAGAAAGCTCGCATATCTCCCCTCCAAAACAATCCCCACACATCTCATCACCGCCTCCAGCGACGGCACAAGCTTGCGCCCCTCCCGCTAGCACTCGAGTGATTCCGAGTGATGGCGACTATGACTGAGGCTCCGACCATGAGGTCAAGTGAGAGCGAGGGCACGGAAGCGGTAAAATGCAAAGTGCTGGGAGGCTGAGGCCGATGCTCTACTTGATGGAAAGCTAAGTGTAAATATGGCTACAGCTGTAAAGGGATTGAGTGAGGCTGGCTATGGTTGTGTGAACACCTAGTTAGTGGGTGATGGAGGATAACTAGCAAGCGGAAGAGTCAAAGGACCAGAATCACTGCTGCGATAGAGAGCTACGGCAAGGCAAGTGTGGTGACTTGAGTCCTTAGCAGTTTGAGTGCTTCAAACTTAAGTGTTGAGGGTCATAAATTCCAGTGAGCCAGAGTGCTATTGGACCGCACGGCTGAGGACCTGTGTGAGCTGAGGCTCCAGAATTGAAAACAGCGGTCTGGTTTTTAGCTAAGGCCGAGGTGGTGTTCGGTCTGATCTTGGAACTCCAAAAGGAGGTTTGCCGGCTGAGTTGAGGATACTGATATTTGGTGCTGGGTGCACAGCATCTACTTGGTTAGGTATGAATGTTCTGTGGGGTGCTGGAGTGTGTAGACTTATCCGGGTGATTCCGGACGGACCTCACACTTAAGTATTAGCGATCAGAAGGTTCAGAATAACCGGGGAATTCATACCTAGTATCCGAGCGACGTGGACGCCGTGAGGCAAATGTTGATGGACTTGTGGGAGGGGGAACCCTCATTGAGGGGGTCCCTTTATAAGTAGCTAAGGCAGTGAGTGTGCACTGATGTATTCTGCTACGGTGGAGTTCTCAGTCAGCTGGAAGCTGGATATGGAAAGACGGGAGGAAGGAGTAGTGACCTTCTTCTTATTGGGACTTAAGGAGTTCTAAAGGTAGGCAGGTGACTCTGCTAGAAAAACCTTTGGGAAGTTGCAAAGTGTGGGAGCAGTCGGCTGCCAAGGCCAATTGCCTCGCTTATGTATCTTCGTCCTTAACGACTAAGTGTCTGGAAGTACTAGTGGATGGAGAAGGCTAAGGGTAAGGCCAAGGTGCACCTGTGCACTGGTTTCAACTTAGCAGAGATCCAGCTTATTACCCAAGAGTTTATCACCCGAAAACTCGATTGAGTGGTGAGGTAAATCCTTGACCACCGTGGGCTCTGGTGAATGAGTGGCGGGGTGTGTCCCATAAGCTAAAAACAAGAAAGTTAAAATCCACAAGAACGAAAATAAGTAGTTCCGGGAGCTAAGGCACGGCTCCTGTTGTCTCGAGTAAAGGGAAGAACGGTTAAGCGTTCACTCAGTTGGCAAGAGAACCCATGAGGTTGAGCTTTGAGTGAACGAAGGAATTGACGCCCTGAAGAGGTAGTGAAGAGAATCCCCGTGAGAAGAACAGTCAGGCAGGACCTGGCTTTAAAGCGATTATATAAACCACTTGGGACGCCCAAGTCAGTGAGGTGGGCTGGCGTATGTGCTATGAGTGCAAGGGGTCCAAGGGGTAGAGATAAAAGAATTTACGGGTCCTTTGTCGAGAGAGAGACGGTGGGTGATAAGAAAGTGCCTTGGATAGTCTAGTGCTAGGTCTCATGAGTTCCAATGTGGTGATTGGTGAGAGACTTTCACGAGGTGCTTTTTTATGTGATTGAGGGCACTGTGACCAGCTACTTTGAGGAGCAGCTTGGCTTTTCCAGGTGCAGGCTAGTCACGACTATGTGATTGGTACTCTGGTGGTGGAAGATGATAATCACTAATCTCAGACGATCATCTTGTCTGATATTAGTGCACTTGACTATCACTTTTCTTACATGCTGAAAGTCAAGAAGGCTTCAAAGTTAAAAAGAAAGGAAGTGGCAACATGCAAGGATCATAGTATGCTCGAGTCATCAACAACTCAGCCAATTTGGATCACAAATGGACCTCAAGAGCTAGCTGGTCATCAACTTTCCAAGGACATGGTGCCAACAGCTGAGTTGGAAGCAAGAAATTATCCCAACTAGTTTTTTAAGGACCAGGTTGTTGATCTTCCACTCAAGGAGATGTCTGCTTGTTCTCAAGTTAACTCAGATTATTTTGGAAAGGCACCCCAAACACAAGCTATTTTTATGGAGCAGGCTGGTGAGAGTGATGTGAGTTACTGGTGGGACACCAACTCACCAAAGAGGAGGTGGAAGCTTATTGTCAACTATTTTTGGAGTTTCAAGATGTGTTTGCATGGAGCTATGTTGAACTTGCTAGAGTAAATCTGGAGCTGGTGCAACACAAGATTCCCTTGCTTCCAAATATGGTGCCATAGAAACAAAAAGCTTATAAAATGAATTTGAGCTATGCTAAGGCTGTGCATGAAGAACTTCAAAAGCTGTTGGATGTGGGATTTATTGAAGAAGTGGAGGCTACAGATTGGCTTTCGCCAATTGTGGTGGTCCAGAAGAAGAATGGTAAACTTAAAGTGTGTGTGCGTGTATTATCACTGCCTTAATACTACAACGAGGTGAGATGGATTCCCTCTTCCCTTCATAGATGTGGTATTGGACAAAGTTGCAAAGCCTTAAGGAGTTGTATAGCTTTATGGATTGTTAAAGTGGCTATAACCAGATTCAAGTGGCTCCTAAGGATCGAGAAAAAATGGCATTCATTACAGAGTGGGGCTGCTATATTTTTTGTGTCATGCCATTCAGTTTGATGAACGCACCAATTACTTTCTAACGTGTGGTGACTTCAGCTTTCAGATGTCTTCTTCATGAGAGTGTGGAAGTCTTCTTGGGTGACTTCTTGACTTTTGGAAGCCACAAGAAACATCTAGAGCAGCTGCATGGAATGTCACTCGAGATCAACAAATTTGTGTGAGTTGTCTGACCTGTGGGAAACCCTAGGTTAAGATGTTAGCAGAGGTTCTAGCAAAGGTCACCAACAAGGCTAATGATGAGGCTATAGTGATTCTCCACTTCACTAGTGTGTCGTCGCAAAGAGTGACATCTTCTAGTGCACTACCCTGGAAATGGCTATGTGCCCTCTCGTCAACCTCTAGCACCAAGGGACTCACCCATCCATAACCAAAAAAAGAAGGAAAAATTCTTGATTTCGACTAAGTTTTATTCTTGAGTTGGCTTTAGCCCTAGACAAAGCATTTGAAAACTCTAGTTTGCAACCAAGCTTTTGAACTTAAATCTCAGCATAAGACCTATATTTATAGTAAATTTGTCAATACAACATAAAAATATAAAGATAAATTTTCATATACAAGCATAAATTATTGCAACCAAGCTTTTGAACTTAAATCTCAGCATAAGACCTATATTTATAGTAAATTTGTCAATACAACATAAAAATATAAAGATAAATTTTCATATACAAGCATAAATTATTGCAACCAAGCTTTTGAACTTAAATCTCAGCATAAGACCTATATTTATAGTAAATTTGTCAATACAACATAAAAATATAAAGATAAATTTTCATATACAAGCATAAATTACTTTTAAAATCACAATCAAAAGCTCAAGAGCTGAGCTCAATTTGTAATTATAATTTTTTAAAAAGAAATTTTATTAATTGTAATCCACTTCCAGCTAATTATATACTTAGTGGTCTATATATTAGAAATACATCTACACAAATATTAAGACTTGTAGAATATCATGCACGTTCATTAGGTCTAGGAATGATCAGAACAGTATATAAATATTTTGCAATAGATTTTGTTGGACTTGGAATTGGCCAAAGAAATCCTAATGAGGAATGTCCTATTTTACAATATCCCAAACATTTACCCAATGATAATAATCTCTCTCCTAACATTTTCAGGAATTATGATTCTGATAATTCACAATGCTGGCTATTTCGAACACAATTAATTAATGAACCTTTAATACTACTTGATACTCATATAGTAAATGGTAACAGCTTAATATCTGTGAATAATAGATTTCAAGCTGTTTTGAAAAATCATAATTTAGTAATCAAAGACATTAAATATTATAAAACTATATGGTCTACAATGTCGAACAACATGATACTTTTTGTTTTCTTCATCTTCAACTTGATGGTCATTTACTTATAATAGATACTAATAATCATATTTTATGGAAAAATAATGTTTTCTGCCAAGATTGTTTACTATTTGCAATTTTCACAATGGAAGATACAGGGATTTAACTGTAACAACTTATAAAAATGGTTCTAAGAAAATACTATGGATAAATAAATTCTAATAGAAAACATTAACATTATTTTGATACTTCACAGAAGTAAATGTTAAAATAAATCTATAATTTGACATAAGTGGACTAGAACCACATGTAATAATACTCAATATTTTAGCTCTAAGAAAGTAGGAGCTTCAATAACAACTTTCACTTGAATATATAAAACAAAATGAATAAACTATTTCTAATAAATAAAATTTTAATAAATAAAATCTAGACCTTTATAATATTGAGAAGTTGTATATAAGCTCTATTTCGTTAAAGTGGGATTTATTCAGTAAAATGGGACTAGGTACAAATTTTCAAGTATTTGAAAATGACGTGAAATTATATGTTTTTTGTCCA